AGTTTCACAATCGGCTTCGCATATCTTGGTTAGCTTTCCACCTGTTGTATCATGGGGTGTTACACTAGTTTCAACTGTCGACATTACAACCATCATCAATATGTACACCATTTAGATAAACACTGCTACAAAGGATCCCTTCAGTTATTGTAATGTTAAAACTGAAGCAGTCTTGCTCACCTTGCTTGTTCATGTTCTGAAGTGTTGGCTTCTCAATCGACCAGCTCCCATCTTCAGCCACAGCTGCAGTTGAAACTTTGGATGAGCCAACGCAATTTGACAAATCAACACAAAGTTTCATTCATGCACAAATCCAGTCCTTACCAATTTCTCTCAAGTGTACTGCAACCCAAAATCGGAAAATAGAGCATGAATAGAGAAACCTGGCTTAGGATTGGTATTAGGGTGTTGTGTGATAGAGTGTATAAGGGTGTTCCAGGGGTATTTTTGGTAGTTAACTAGGGTGTACTTAGTTAATTTTATATTTTGATTTAAATATTATAGTGTACTTAGATCATAGGGTGTACTCAGTTAATTTTAGGGTTCGTTTAGCAGCACTCTTCTTTTAATGGGAGTTCATTGAAAATTTAAAGGAAAGAAATCAAATTTCAGCAATAAAACTCAATTTAGTCAGGAGAACCGCGAAAATACAGAAAACAATTTATTTAAAATGGGTACAATGAATGAATCATTTATTCAATTTTTTTCCAGTTGGAAAACAGAAACTTTCATTGATTTATTGACATTATACAACATAACTTACAATCCCTAAATTTAAAATATCACATTTCAAATGGCCATGCCCTAACCTAGAAACTGGTCACCAAAGATCTAAAAAAATTAAAGGAAACAAAATCCCAAAAAGGAGTTTGAGATAAACTTATGCTACTTTATGGATATGAAGGATATAAAAAGAATCCGCTGAGCTAATTCTATACAGTTCACTGTACAGCAGTGTATTTAACCCAAAATGTAAACTGAAATAAACGAACAGGAGGTGCCTCTATTTCTACCTAATTTAAGATGGGTTCCTCACAATCCTTGCGCTGCTGTAGAAGCGCCTAAGGTCCTTCATAGCCTTTTCCTCAATCTGAATTGATCGAATCGATGAGGGTGTATCCACCTCTGGTTTGAACCAGCGGTTCACTCCAGGGGCATCCAATGGTGAACCCTGACCATTAGTGACTGAGAATCCAGCCGTTTTAGTCTTTTTTTTTTGTCGAAAGGCAATTCATTGAAAACCCACAAAGGGCGAGGAGCACAACAAAGGCAACAGAACAAAAGCAGGACCAGATCTAACTAAAACCCAACACAGGCATAGCATGAAGATCATAACCCACCGGATGAAAATTAAACGGGCATAAGGCCAGCAGTAAAACAAAACCCACACATAACATGTGGTAGCAACAACAAGTTGAAACAAGAAAATTTACATAAAGTACAGACCCACATCACAGATCTACCACAAAAACCAGTAACTCTCAGAGCAGTCCAAAGGCAAAGGAAATGTAACCAAGTAACAGGAAGGAGGTGGTGCAGGCACCAGAGTCGGAGCGTTGTCGCGGCTCTACACACCTTCCGAGGGGGACGCGAGAGCTCGCGTTTAGGGTTAGCCAGAGAATCCGGGTGATGAAGTCGGTTCGAAAGACCGAAGCACCAAGGGAAACCCAGCAACCGAAGTGACGATGGCCAAAGGACAGCTCTGTGAAGGATGGATTGGTGGAGATGTGAGGGATCTGAGCAGATAGGAGGCATGAAGCCTACGATACAAGCAGGGTATGCTTGAACGACGTCACCCGCTCTCATCCAAGGAGAGAGCATCGGAACCAGCAAAATGGGGACACCAAATGCCCAAGAGAACAAAGCCAAAGCGGCGGCCGCAGGGGAAAGACACCCAAGCCACCGAATCACCAAAACAATCCCCGGATAAACTAGATCCAGGATAGATCTACCGGAGAAGCCAAGCAGAGGAGCAACGAAACTGTGGGAAAGACTATGATGTTTTCCCTGATTTGAGACATAAATAAAGACACGTATGAGAATGGTAAATTAAACGCCTGAAATCTCCATGACTCTGGCATGTGGCAACAAGAAAACAACTCAAAAAGAATGCATGGAATTCAGTACACATAACAAAGGATATTAATGGTCCGAACACATAAGAAGAGAGAGAAAGGGTGCAATTCACATACCTGCTGCATTTGGATGTCCCTAAGAGAAGGGCGAGAAAGAAGGGGAGGTGTACCTCTTTCTCCATCAGATGCCACTGAAGTATGGGTTGCAACCACTGGTATCGAGACCACTGGTATTGCCTTGGAAGGCAAAAACGAACTCAGTAGAATCTTCCCATCACTTCTAGCATTGAAAGGATCTTCTGCATGACCTCTGTTTCTGGTTGACTGACTGTCCTTGGTTTTGCTTTGCTCATCCTGAATCGCACGAAGAGATGCAAATCCTTTAGGGATTTTGGCCCCACCCCATGCAGGGCCTTCACTTTTTGGAGAAGGTGGGGGTGGTGCAATGTATTTGGGGTCATCATCAAGAGCGCCACTCAAGAACATAGAAAGCCCACCCTTTTTATTCTTCTTCTTGGAAGTTATTGGTGATGAACATTTATTCTTGGTTAGGTTTAAATTGTCCTTCTGAACACACAAAGCTGACTCCTTAGTGGTTTGGTTTGTCATAATCCCTTCACTCATGGCATCTTCCTCCTATCAAAGGTACAATTCAAAGAATTTAGCAAATGAGATGAATATTTTAACCAGGGAAAGGGATACCAAAAATCAAGCCTTGTTTAAGAAGAAGGCAATAATCCAATAGTAATTACGAAATGCAAGTTCAGAGTAAATCGCACACCAGGATCAAGTAAAAATAAAAGTGAAGTTAAACTATTAAAAAATGGGTGCAAGCCTTGATGTTCAATCAAAATACATTTTGCCATCTAGGTGGCATAACAAGCTATGGAAAGTAAAAAGGGTGAGACCAAAATCATCATCCGTATTTTGGATAAAGATTTTTATCGCAAATGATCCCTGAACATATAAAAGCCCTCACTTTAGTCCTCAAACTTTTGAATCAATCAATGTGGATCCAGTCTTTTGGTCCACATTCTGACCAAAAAAAAATTATTCTTTTGGTCCACACATCAATTTGATCCTAGTCGTCGCATTCCATCAAAACTTTCCCCAAAACTGATCTCGTGTCATCATCTGACAAACTTTAAAGGGCTATTTTTCATCAAAATATAGCCCATCCGCCCAATACACAAAATAAAGCTCACGCCTCTTAACAATTTCAGGGACTATTCACGATAAGAACCCGTTGGATAATGCAAAACAGCAAGTAGCAAGTTTGAAGTTGTTAACCATCATAAATCATGCACGTCAAAAAATTGAAAAGATTTCAAACCCCATTCAAAGATTCAAACATCTCAAAAGAAAAACACAATCATCTCAATTAGCTGGAAAAAGACGATTTAGTGAATAACCATCTTTTACTGAAATCAATTCAAACCTGATAATAAAACGAATTTTGGAATTTAACAAGCTCGCCATATTTTTTGTGGTTTGAGAGATTTCAATACTCAAGAAATCCTTTGTGTGTTTCGGTTCTACTTCATCTCCTGGAAAAGAAGACCCTATATCCACTGGTGTGGCCATCTGTTTGTTCTTTCTCCTCTGTTTTTTTGATAGCTCAACCCTTTTGTTCCCTTTTCCATCTGGCTGAACTGAAGATGATGCCTTCAATTGTGATGTCTCAACTGGAACACCAAGCTCAGCAAGCTCGCTTTCAAGAGCTAGTCTCATCTGAAGCTTTGTAATTTGCTGGTCATCAAGAAGTTGCCCACTAGACTGTTTTGCTTCAAGCATCTCAATCTGCTGCAACTTGTTCCGCAAGGCTCGAACTTGCTTGCCGATATCATGATTTGGATCATCTTTGGGCTGTAGAAAGGAATCCGGTCTTTGGTGTATTTCATTTTTCGATGTGGATTGCTTTGTATGGCCGTCACGTGTCCTTTGAACCTCATTCTCACTATCGTCCTCTTCACTATAAATAGTAGCAGGAAAAGTAGCTGTAGGAGTTGGGAGACGACGGTAACTCCATGGTTCAGATGACCTTAGGTCCAATATATTTTCAAGGTAAGCTAGAATATCTGGTGAAGCACTAGCAATAGCTTGTGATGATACAGTAAATACATAGTCAGGGTTGCGTATGACAATGTCCTGCAATAACAAACACAGCTTCAATAATTAAACAATTAAGTAGCATGTAAACTACAAATCTACAAAAACTTGGATCACAAGTCCCATAAACAGAAGCATGAGACAATACTACATCGTCTTGTAATTCCTAAAGTGTTCAAGACAATAACCTGCCCTCCA